GTTTTTGGGGCCCTAAATTGCTAATCGGTGCTGTGTTTTAAAAAAAAACAGTGCGCACCCCCCCCCCCCCCCTTGATTTACCGTTTATTGTTTAAACAAAGAAGTGTAGAACTCCGAGACGCCTCATTTTGTAGAGAAATGTTTCCTTTACAATTCTAGACGTTTCACAGCACTGCTTTAGTTATAAAAATATAAACACAGTAAAGTGTCAAAATTTCGTCACAGAATTTCACTCCGATAGCAGAATTATCTGGCCTCGTCGAGTTCTATTTTAATACACATTTTGAGGTATGAAGAGTAAACTTTAAACTAAAAATAATTGTTGCATTCAGAATGTCTCCATGATGTTAAGATGTCAAATTTCGTATAATATATGTAATTCGGAATCATTTCATGTGGTTTTTTGACAATTAGCAAATTCTTTTATAAAAATCAAGTTAGATTTGTGTGAGGACATTGTACCATAACTCAAGTACGAAAAGTTTCATCAAATTGTCGATATATTGAGTGAACGTTGTTCTTCTTAGGTCAGTAAATAGTTCAGTACTCTATCTCCTCCTTTTCTTTATATTTCTTTTTGCTAAATAAATTCAAAGAAATGCCTATTTGAATAACATTTATTATCTATTTTGCAGATGATGATTGTTCTCTGTATCAAGAAAACATACTATTCAGAGAGCTGAAAACAATCTAAAAGAAACGACTAAGTGGTCGAAAGATTGATTCACCGACGGATCCAGAATTTTCCGTTGTTTTCCACGGTATACGATAAAATTATGAGGTACGTGCTATTTTTCATAAAAATAAATTAGTTTTCCAGGTAATAAATGGAATATTTGCTTAAAGGGCAGAGCCAACTATTGACTGTCCTTAAATGCAAGAAAATGCGTCGGTATGTTGTTTCCATGGCATGCAACTTCTTATATTGAATTGGATGAATATTCTTTTATTATTTATTCTAGTTCGAGTACAGGCCACCGAAATGGTAAAACATTTTCGTGGTTTACATTCTGATATCTGTTCAACGGTGAGAAAGGTTGTTGGTGAAGATTTATTGAAATTAATTTATGATGATGATATAATGAGTCGAATTATGATTGAATTATCTAAATATGATGTGATTTTCTTACATGATCCACTAATAACACATTTTCTATTAATTATTCTTATATTTTCATCAAGTTTTACGGTGACAGTAATGAACGATGAATATCATGACTATTCGACACCAAGAACATCTGAATTAGACATACTTCATCTCCAAAACTTTTATGTGAATTTATTGTGGAAATATATGGTCTATCGTCTAGGCGAAACAGAAACTGTTCGTATTTTAACACAATTCATTGGTATATCGCTTTTGACGATGGAAATCGGATACTCTATTGATCAACGATTTCACGACAACCATGATTTGTACGAAATTACGAAAGTAATACAAACTTTGTCTTTACGAGTTTAACACACAAAGTGTTTCAGTTTTTTTTATAATGTATTCTCAATAAACTTTAAAAAATACAGATATAGATGGTAAATCATTTTCGATTGTTATTTGTTGTTGTTTCTTTTTTTATCTTGTTTTTATGATGAGTATCCTGTTAGGCCCGAGAGGCAAAATAATCAAGCTAATTATTATCAATCATTTTCGTTTGTTTTACCACGTTCACAACACAAGATTCTGAACCTTGTTTCTAGTATGATCACTAAACATCATTACAAAATAATTGTGTGTGTGTGATATAAGCAAGGAGGAAAAAGCAGCACGAAGTTCTGTGAGGTACTGCCTTACTGTACTGCCTGCCTATAACATAAGGTAGTTGAATCGAATCACATATTGTACTGATTTTTTTCCTTTTTTCTTTAATTTTTTCTCCTTCTACATAAAAAGGAAAGATGATTGGCTGTTTTAATTTCATAGAAAAGAAGTATACATAATCGCTTTTTTATCTGAACACTTTCTGATTTAATTTTGCAGTAATGGATATATCCTGGTAATTTTAGAAAGTGCTGAAAAATATTCATTCTTTATGTTATGTTTAATGGCAGGAAAGTAAGCAAAAGCTTGACTCAGTCTACCGGATGCTCACTGGTGTGGTATCGTTATTTGAGAATATGTTTTAACTTGAAACAATTCATGTATAATAACTATCCTTGTTGTTATCATTGTCAGTTTCAGTATTTTGCATTTATTCAAATTTGCATCAGCTATTGTTAACTGTACATGACTTTCAATGCGATAAACTGCATGATATTTGTAACGAAAGGTGGCTAACATGATTTCAGATGGTGGCTTCGGAAATATATAGAGCAAAGGAGAAACTGAATTATTGCTATATATATAATTTATCATACTGACTTATGAAGAAAAATGTATGCTTTCAAGCGCCTTCAGACAGTTATAAGACAGATTTAAGCTCTCTCTCGGCGGCCTACCGTCACGACTATCGCAGTGACCGATTAGATCAAATGTCTGTGACATCTCATGTTTACCTGATGTCAGAGAGCTTGTTATCAACCAACAGTGGCGAAAGTGGCGAAGCTCACAAAACCTTAATTTGAGTTTCAGCGTTCTTCTATTTTTACTAGGATGCCAAAATATTCCGCAGTTTAAACCAGTTAGTAAAATTATTGACCTTTCTCTTCCATCGTAAATTTTTCCATACATCTTGTGTCGTGCAGAAAAATTGTGTGTGCTTCAGACGATCAAAAGTGAAGCTGCATTAGAGTCAAATTATGCTCTTCTCTTTCCTCGCCATCATAAAGAAGCTCAAGTAACCACAAACTCGATTTCTACTCTCTCTACCACTGAGTCTTTTCCGAACGATGGTATTGAACAAACGGTACACCTTGCCTTTGCCGATGCTTGGGAACTTTTAAAACCTCGTGGCATGGATATTTTAAAAAATACTGGAAAGGTCATAACAATCGACGGCGTCAGTTTTTTCGTCGAGAACCGGTTAGAGAAATCAAGAACAATCGAATATTCCAGCCAAAGAAGGTAATTCTCCGATTCAGATTCGGAATCGGATAATGTTACCACTAGTGTCGTGAATGAATATGAACAAGTAGCATCTTATTCGGAAGATGAATTCGAAAATGAAGTACAAATTGATTCGCAATATTTATCGAACGTTAGTAACTGTACTTACAACGGTATGCGTGTTTATAATACTGTGCGCGCGTTTATATACTATTTTTTTGAAATATAATTTAAAAGTTGAATAAGTTAGCTAATGTCATTCTCGCACTAGAACTTTGCTCGAATGCAACTTCAGCTTGAACTTTGAGATATATTTTTATACTCTTATAACTATTTACTGAATATGTTAGCGACACAGCTTTAGCTTTCAGAACTGCTACAACGAACTCTGACTACTTAGGAAGATATTAACATGTAGTAAGATGATTGATAAAATTGTGTAAATGACATATCACTGACTATTTTTCTGAAGTTAATATGATTAAATTAACAAAGGAAAAAGTATCGAAGAACATATGCACACTAGTTCTACTGAGAAAATGCTATTTTGTGCATAAAATTTCTCAAAAATAAATCGAAAATATCAGATTTCACTCAGAAATCTTAGTTCTCAGCTGCCACCCCCCCCCCCCCTTGCTTTTAACTCCAAACTGATTAATACTACTTTCCTAATCAGTTTTTAATGAAGAATTAGAAAAGAAAACCTTGAAAATCAACACGAACAAACAAGTCGAAAATTTGAATTTTTTTAAACTTGAATAGTTTGAGAAACATTTAACAGTTTTATTTTATTTGAATTAGACTATATATTAATAAACGTGAAGAATATAAATAAACTGTTACATGCTATCGGATGCTGAGCGCTCATTATAAGCATAGTAAAAGTGATAAATTACACACAAAAGTCTTGCTATAAAAGCAGCACTTCTAAGCGTCTAATCGATGAAATATTATTAATATAGTATGCGCTTTCAGCGTAAGATTTTTTTATTAGCTATGTACAGCATAGGCGGATCCATTACATTTACAATGCAGCATCTAATTTGACTGTTTCTTCGACAATGAAGTCTTCCGCAGCCCATTTGATCAAACCTGTGTATCTCAAAGTGAGTGCACTTTGTTCGGTGTCCATCGGTAGCCCAGATATAGTGCCGATAAAAACTGTTTTTGCTTCTTTCGAACAGAAGCATTTTTTGAGAATACGGGTCAAAACGCTCCCACGAAATGGAATTACTTTCGATTCCGCCGCTGCAGCACGTATACAATCTTGTAAACTGGCCAGGCTACGGTTGATTGAAGCGGAATCCTTAATCAGATCACTGCTCCCTTTGTGATATAGAGAATCTTGTTGCCCTTCATTGCCTGCTAAGTCGACAAAGGTAATTGTAGAAAGAATTTCTCCATCGTCCAAGACATCGGCAGCCAAGCGTACGCGAACAAAATAAATAAGATGAGATCGAGATGACTCTGTGTTGCGAGTAGTCGCTTGTGTTCGCCTAATTGTCCTAGCTCTCTTGATATACGCATCCAGTTGAGTGCTATTATCGCACGCGTACTCCTTTGCTCCTCTGAGATGCACCGTTCCGTGGATGTCATCTCGAAAGTAAACAAGTGCACCATTGTTGTAAAGATCACAAACATTGTCTTTTGAAACAATAAATCCTTTTGCTCCCGCCACGATTTCGACAGCAGAGATTCCAATACGCACGTCATATTGTGAGTTTTTGACTAGATAGAATAAATCTTGCGCAAAAAGTTCAACAATTCCACTAATAGTGTACGATTTTCCCGTTCCAGTCTTCCCGTATAAAAAGACGGTAGAATCAACAGGTAACGTGTCGTTTTGGGGAATCGATTGTGCAACCACTTTTCGAACAACGTTGTATACATCCTGGTTGTTTGAATACTTTCCGAAAACCTTATCCAGATGGAAGGTTGTGCACTTAATCTCCAATTTGTTCAACCGTAAGTTTCCAGCGTGTACAATCACTGTGTCATCAGTTGTAGTGACGCATTCGTACACGTCGCTTCGAAGAGTTTCTTGTTCGAGAAATGGTCGAACACGCGCACAGACTGTGAATCGATCGGAAATATCAGCACGGGCTGGAAATCGAATCAACGGTACAAAACGTGAGATTGCACCGATAAAAATGTCACGATAGGTACTCCTGACTCTTGCTTTGCAGAACGCAGATGTGCTGCTACCAATGGTTCCCGCGTTTTTACCGCTTGTAAATCGGGATCGGTTCTCCGAAAGGCGTGTATTCGTTGGCCGTGCATTGGAGATGGCAGCTATCCTAAATCGATATAAGAACATGGAAAAACTCAAGATATTTTATGTGATTAAGAATTCAATGCTCCATCGTCCTAAACTGCCTTCTGTTGGTTGTCTGGCAAAAAGAAGCTCAGCAGTCAGAAAAACAACTCATCGCTCGTGACTTAGTCTCAGTCATGATTGAGACTTGCCCATCTCTGATTATAGTGACGCATCGTATCGGAGAACCACGCTGACCTCTATTCTGTAAAACACTTGCAATAATATATTCCACTACCTTTCGCTGACTATCAGAACATTTAAGTCAGAATAAACGTCTTTGCCCGGCAACAAGCAGAACGCATGGTAGAAGAGGAAAGAAAGAACTGGGAGTACATTTTGTGAATCATTCTGAGCAAACAATAAAATCGAATCCTGACACAAATGAATCATCATCGTCCAAGAGCATGCGAGTGCATTCCTCAGCAACAATGTGAAGGTCGACTAACTACTGAAAAAAGTCGAGTCACCGCCCTAGGCGACTAAAAGTGCGAAAATCAGATAAGAATCTTATAGAAATTTTACGAAAATCTTATATGCTCCAGTCGATAGAAATGCATACTGTAGGTATAAGATTCTTATACTTTGCAGTATAAGATTTTGTTAAGAGCTACTATATGTTTGTATACGTTGAGTTACTATCATTCATAACTATCTTTTCGAGACACTTGTTGATTGCTTCTCCTTTTATATTCGACATGAAATTTTTCAATCGAATTTGAGATTTTCACATCAGTCATTTTATGGAGCATATCAAGTTACACATATCAAGCTATTTTCATAACCATTCGATTGGTATTGATGGAATCAGAAAGTTTTGGTTCAAGTATTGCTTAAAAGCATACATATATACCTGCATGGTAATACTCAAGTGTTTGAAATATTCAAAACTTACTTAAAACAGATTGAATAGTTATGAAAATAGCTTGATATGTGTAACTTGATATGCTCCATAAAATGGCTGATGTGAAAATCTCAAATTCGATTGAAAAATTTCATGGTCTGGTTTTGTAGAAACCTCACTTGTTTTTCCAGGCGATTTTAAAAGATCCCAAAAATCCCACCATTGTTCATGATAGTACACTTGGTGTACTCCAACAATATTGTACGGAGCGAGAAATTTGGCGTCTTTCTCCAAAATGACCGGATCGATGATTTGGGCTCTCATGGGACCATCTACTTTAAAAGAACGGAAGCATGTCTGGCGCTCGCGGTTGTGCGGGTTTGCAGTAGATACTATCTAGTAGTTGTGATAAAATTCTTAACTGTAAGTAATGTGTCGTTATGGAGTTGTACGTTTGACAGTTTCCTTAGATGCCGAAATTTGTGCGTTTTCGGGCTCTTTGCAAAAATTGAATATCTCAGCAACGCAACAACTTTAGAAGCTGCGATTTTTCGTCGAAATTCATGAAAATATTTGCTCTAAAGAAGCCCTTACTATGGAAGAAATATGAGATGGTCGATTGAGCAGCATTATACGGTAATAGGTCGTGGCTTATCTTTTATGACTCATATATACTTTTCTAACAATTCTCAACGTGAAAGAATTTATATAGAGATGCAAATATATGTTACGGGCAAAACTGGAATTCGGTCAAATCTAAGATTTGCCGGTCAAAACTAGAATTCCAGTTTTGCTCGTAACATATATTTCTGTATATAACTTATACAGCCGACACGTGTGTGACTGAAGATTTCTACATTTTTCTTCACATTTTAATAGAGACGAAAACAGTGTCTGTTGTACAGGGCACTTATTTCTTAAAATGATCTGAAGAATTTTATATTCAAACCTTTCTGCAGTTTATATCTGCTTTTTTAACATTTTTAAAGTAGAATTAAATCAAAAAAGTAATTTTACAGCGTAAGTATACAGTAGTTTCAGTGAATGAGAAAAAAGGAACATATAAATCCTTTCTATTTTACTATTGCATACTTGAATTTTTTCTTCTGGCATGTTGGATATATAAAAATGAGTATTCTTTCTCGAGAAATGCACCATATGTAAGGACTTCTTCCGTGTTTTTTTCTCAGTCGGTGTTTACTGTGAGAAGATCTCAAAATAAAAATGTACAGAAGTGAGAAGTGCATCAATGGTAGATGTTTTTTATAACAATTGTGAGTATCCTCGCTGTAAGATCGCTTTGCTGCTGGTGACTCTCAGGATGTAGCGACGATCAGTTCGATCCCGTTTGACGCACAAAGGATTGGGTGAGAGTCTCAGTCCACTGAGAGGAGTCAGTCACTCCGCCTCATTCATAAAATATTAGATTGACTCTAATAACGAACTGATCGTAGCGATATAATATATCTTCTCTGAAAGTTCAAGCGTGAATGTTTTCTCCACATACAGCAAACGCTACCTTATCGGTAATATTCACACGCAAATCATAAAACATCAACCTCTCACTTTTATTTTGAGATCAAATGCCAGTTATATATCGAACCATAGTTGAGAAGTAGAACATAGGAGAACTTAGAGCAGTTGGTAATTGAAGCTGTTTTACAAATGACAGCCCAAATTTTTCTAAAAGTTCAATAAACCATTAACATAATTCCTATGAAAAGTGGAGAAGAATTAGAGAAAGAAAGCGTATTTCTAAACAGAATTGCTCGATAGAAACTCATTTTAATCTCGAAGTGAGCCCGAGGTGAATGATCGACCTTGATTGCATTATCTCCTGAAGGGAAAGGATAAAACATGGTGAAATAAGTGTTTCATCCAGGGTTTTCGTTACAAATTTTTTGAGGAGGGGGAAGTTCAGGGACTTACTCCAAAGTATGAAATATGAAAATTTGACTTACTCCCACTGAACTTACTTCCAGTTTGATTTACGCCCATTGAAGCTT